TATATATCTTTTTCTGCTTTGCAGCACTAGTAAGTGAAATGTTTCTCTTAAATTTAAATTAAAAGAAATATTTTTTTAGGAAACATGCGCACTGAGTATTTTGCTCTTTGTCTCCCCACACAATAAATCATATGAAAGTGTCCGCGATTCTGAAACACGTTGTCATGGTTGTGCATTTCTTAAGAATTACCGGAGTTTGTTCAACATGTTTCCTGACGCGGCTTGTGCTGCCGGCATAATTGATATTAAGAGCTAATTCATGGCAAAGACTTTCCAAATAGTTGAGAATGGCATTCAAACGTATAATAGAAGCACTATTGATATTACAAATGTTTGCACTATAATTTTGTTAAATGAACTCTTAGCGTAGATTTCGCAATACTTTTTAACACATTTTGTTCATAGAAAATACATATTAAATAATTACTACTTAAAAAATGATCAAAGTTGCTAATTTATATTATTTAAATCAGAGTTCAATTATTAAATGCTTCAATGTGTAAAGTTGGTTCACTTCATTTACTTTCAAATTCAATTTATTTTCTCTGCTTCGAAAATGCTAATAGTAAAATGAGTAAATGTTGATTCAAATTAGAACTGCACTTTTTACCAAAACGCTTTCGGATGCTCTTTATTTTCAGTTTTATTTACTTGTTTCCCATGTTTAACATAATAGAATTGGTGAAGAAGGCATGCTGATTCACATAACTTAAATATTAAATTCCTCAGATAATTAAAAATATTAGAATTCAGAAAATGAAAGAGAATTTCAAAGTGGAATAAAAGAAAATTTAATTAAAATTTAATAATTAATAAATTAAGAGCCATTCCTTGCATTGGAAAAACAAATATTTATATTGCATATTAAAATTTTTTAATTAGTCTGTGTAGATATTACGAACATTTATGAACCATTAGAACTCGAAGTTGATGTCTTTAAAATCCGAACTTAAAGTTGAATTTTTATATTAACTTTTAATTAGATGATATTTTCTAATATTATAAGTTTTGTTAAATAATGGTTATCTATGTGGGTAAACATGATCACTCAGTTTGATGGTTTATTAAAGGGTATCTTCAAACTTTCTCAAGTACAGTGAAAACATTAGCGTCTAACAATACACATCATAAAGATTCATTCTTATTTAAAAATTAGAATAGCTCATTATACTCTTAATTGCATTTCATAGAACACATAGGTTTCAGTAAATTGTAAACCTTTGTAAATTACTTAAGTTTCAAAATTTACCTAGATGCTAAAAAGCAGCATAAGTAGCAACAGTTACATTGTCAGTTATGGAGAAGTCAATAATGAACAAACTATTGATCCTAATATTCTCCTCTTCCGAAGCACTTTTGTTATGTTTGACATAAAAGTGCTGATGATGAAGATAAAACTTAAAAAAACATATAATAGAGAGAACAAAACTTTATTTTGTTAAAATTAATTTCATTAAATGAAATTTAATTTGAGTAAATTAAAATAATACAAATACTTTGGCACATATACAGTCAAAAATTACAATAAACATGAGAATTAGTCACTGCACTTACAATCACTGGTCGACTTAATTCAAATATATATATATATAAGAAAAATAAAAAAAAACCAAAGTACCAGATAACTGCCATAAAACAAAAAGAAGATGTTTATCAGGCTTATGTATCAGCCTTCAAAGAAGTTGTTGTCTACTCAAGCAGACATGCTGTAATCAAAACAACAATAAATATATATTTGGACTGACAGAACGCCATATCAATTAACTCGGTAGTGTTAAGCTCAAGATTAACTGGCAGCTCTAAACGAGAACAGTGTTTACGTGTACGTTTAAGATGGGTCTCGGATCAAAACGGTATTAAGGAAAATTGCTGAACTGTCTGAACTAACCAGACGAGGTATTTGTATAGACCTCTGGTTTATACTATAGCAGGTCACTAGCTGTTTAGGCAACACACTTTTAGGTTAAGGATTCACTCTCATAAATATTGTTAAACTTGTGAAAATGGGAAGGAGAAAGAAATGGTGGATAACGTATTTTGTAGTTACTCTGCTTTAGTCAGAAGCAGAACGAAATTTTAAAGCGATTATGACTTTCACTCTCTAACATAGCGGTCTACTGCGCTAAGACTTGAAACGTTATGTGTTTTATTAGGTCTTAGAAATAGTTTCGGAATAAACCAACAGTTCAGGTCACGGCAGTAGCGTGTATGTGAGTTGGTGAATTATCCTGTGAACCAAAAAAGCTAACCTGAGCTGATACTACTTTACTGAGAAACTATTATAAGAACGAAAAAATATTTACCTATAATATAATAAAAATATATATAATAATTTATAATATACCTATACAATATGTAAGTAACATACTTACTTGTGAGAATATGTGTATTTTTAATATTAAAATGGGGATTTTAAATGTATGACTTAAATAATTAAAAATAATTTTATATTCAAATTAATTATTTTTCTAAAAGTTATTATTTATATTCTATATATGTTTTATATATATTTTATATATTTTTATATATTACTGTTTGATATATGTTTTGACTCAAAGTATCGAAAAACACAATTCCATTAATTTATGCTTTTTATCAGTAATTCCTACCTGATTGAGTAAACCAAATTTTGAATATCACATAGCGTAATCTTAAGCAAATTTTGAGTTTTCTGAAACTTCAACTTTTTAATAATAATTCATTATTACATTGTGATTAATTCAAAGATAATAGTGAATTAGTACTTTGTTGCATACTTTAATAAAAAATAGAATTTACTAAATATTAACTTGTAAATATTAGTGACTTTACTAATTAAATTTAACAGTCAATATTCTGACTATTTCAAATGTATATCATAATAGCAAATAAAATTATTAAATCGAAGTTTTTTCTTTATAAATTCAGATTTTAATTTGCTTTCAATCTGATCATAAATATGCATCCTCATATATAATATCTGAAACTTTCATCCCGTGTTTTAGTACTTTCAACTGTAATTTAACTTTTAAGTGTAATTTTTAGAAGTATTTGAAAAGATCCTTTTGGTGAAAAGAAGAGAAATTTGGAGAATGATGTTTAAGATTAAAATGTTTATTTTTTTATAATAAATTTGCTGCAGACAGAAAATACATATATCTTTATATAAACAAAATTAAAATAACAAAAATTCATTAACTCTTTAAAACCACACTTTTTGTACTGTAATTGTTTATTGCTCATAGTTATAGAAGAAAACCCAGGTGCAGATTTGAGCTCAGGACCCTCAAGGCAATCTGCAACCGTTGAAAAATCAAAAAGGAGAAAAAAGAGTGTTATTTTTGTCGCACAGTGCAATTTCTTTTAAATACTTTGTTCTAGTGATAAAATCAATCAATTTTAGTTTAAATCAAAGTATTTACTACAGAAATAAGTTTCGATGGATGTATTAATATATTACGTGTTTATTTTGTTAGGTTTTAAAACTTAGAAAATAAACGAAAAACATATTTAATGTCATTTTTATTTTAGATCATAATTCATAATTTTAACACAATTCGTATGATGTAATATTGTACTCTTAACATATTATAGCATAAGTTAATTAAAACTAAATCTACAATAAAATAATAAAACTAATATTATCTGTATACATAAATAGATTTTTTCAAAATCTACATTCCAAAATTAAGAGAAATACACTTGGAAAATAATTACAGAAAATTAAAAACAAAAATAACTCTTGCATAAAATATACATTAAAAACAAATTTTTAATTAATTTCTTTCTTCCTGAGTTCTGCTGCCAATTACAAATCTTTTCCAATATTCATTTAATTTTCTTCCATTTGATTTGCTAAACAAAATCTGAAAACAGTTTTAGACTATCACATTTTTCAGATGAGTATTAATTAATTTTATTAACAAATATATTTTATGAAAGAGTTTGGATAATTAAATTAAAAAGCCTGCTAAACTAAGCCAAAAGGCAAAAAATCATTATTAATCATTTTGATGAAACTTGTCAAAATTACATACAATACTACTTACATGGCTATCGTGTCGTATGAGCGATTATTTTATGCAAAGTGTAATATGCTCAGTTATAATTACTTTTTTGTTTAAACATTAAAAAATAAACTAATAATTGTGCATTTTTATTAAGTTTACAAATTTTTTAAATACTAAACTAACTAAAAGAAATGTAAACTAAACTAGTTGTTATTTTTTTATTACAAGCTTGACACACATAACAAGCGTAAAGAACCGCTTTTATTTTTATTTTTATTGTTTTTTGTCTGTTTGTTTGTTTGTTTAAGCGAATTTATAATTTGTTGCCTAGATAAAGTTGCTTTTAATTTGGTTGTACTTCACAAACGAAATATGTTTCGAAACTGCAAGGTGAGTCGTTCCATTTTAGGCCTTTACCATCACGATTCCACAACTCCAAACAGTTTTCTTCTTCGCCATTTTCATAGCGGAAATTGTTTGGCTCGCCAGCATTCCAATTAGTAAACGTAATTGGGCGGCCTGTTGCCATCCAAAAGAAGTTACCTTCGTCAGCTAAATCAGTGCCTGATATCCAAAAATGCTCATGACCCAAACCTGGCGTGTAATAAAAAAGAGAAATAAATTTAATAATAAAATTTAACACATTTAAATCTTTAAATCGCTACATAATTTGATATCATAAAATATGTTGACCGCCTAAGTTGTACAACATTTTACTTAGGGTCTTCGACTTAATTGTGCAAACTTGCCGCTAACATTCACTTTTACTACATTGTCTGCATTTTTTTATTGCCACATGCAATGTTGTTAAGGAATTGCAGGGCTGCACAACAGTCATAAAAAGTGAACGCCCGCTTTCGTTGGTTAAGTAATTTGAACGTTGCAAATATTTATCGAGGCATAAGGCACAGTGAGCGTTAATGTTAAGCGTCTAGGCTTATTATTTCTTTCATAATTTCCGGGTATTATGTGAGGCGAGTTCTGTATATATATTTTATGATGATTATTTTTTCAATAGGTGCGCATGAACAATATAAAATTTAAATAAATATATGTTTAAGTATTTTTTTTAAATAAACTAATTGTACTTTTTATATTTGTGACAAATATAAAACAAAAAATTTAAAATATATCAAATAAATTAAAATTTTATGCTCAATAACTAAAGTTTATTCTTTCGATTTCAACACAATAATTTGCATTATTTATTTACTTATATTTTTTTAAACGTTGACTATCTATAAAATTTTTCTATTTGAACTGTATAACTAAGAAATAAATTTTCTAAGTCGGTTTTTATAGCCCGTCTTTAGCAATCATAAATACCCTAACTGTTTAATATATAAATAATTTATGAATATTTATTTTTTATACCAAAATCTTGTATGTGTTTTTCCAGTCTGTCATTTTCTTCTTGCGATGAGATGCTAGCCAAATGCATGCCATGATACCTGCAATACTGCGTTGCTTTGAACCAATTTGCCTGTAAAATCAAAAAAAGGAACATGTTAAATTAAAAGAAAAAAGTTAACATTTTTTGACTGTAAAATATGCAATCAAAAATATAATTTGAAGTTGGTAATAGCGTTAGCCTGTCAGCATGAAAAATATGATATATCAAACTAGCTTGAGGGATATTTTACACGTCAAGACATTTCAAAACAAATACCAAATTTTAGAAACAAACTATGAAAAACAAAATAATTTTATAATAAAGTGAACAACAATACCTTCATAAATCACAACTTTGTATACCAACATACTACAATTTAAATTTTTAAATAAAAACTTTAGCAATAACTAAATTCACTAAAACTTAATTTTACACTTTTTTATTTTATTGTAATAAATTATATTTTTAAAACAATATTTTTCTAAATGTCAACATTGCACTTTCCAGACACAAATTTATATATGAGTACATATATAGGTTATGATTTTGTGTTACATATGCAGATTTTAACTTGTGGCTTAAATTCTCCTGCAGCATTAGTATTTCATTATATTAGTACTAATTTGATATGCTATTACGATATTATATGTATCATAATATATGTTATGTGACGTCCGTATCTTCACATTTTCTTGGTTTACAAGTAAATCAAATTGTGTTTTATCTCGTAAGACAGCAGAAACTTCATTCCTTTCATTCAAGGTTTTCAGAATATGTAAAACATATTTCAGTTTAAACAAGTGTGATTAACTATGCTGTAGGTTAAAGTTTTGTAGGCAAATCCTTTTCAGTGAAACTATATTTGGTAGACAAACCGTAAGGATAACTGAAATCGTAAGGATAATAAATATATTTAAAAACGATTGATTATCTTTTATCTTTAGTGATGTTCAATGATATAACTCAATAACCACTTTTTGTCTGCCGATCGTATATATCCAGATATTAAAATTTTGGATCACAACGACAATTTAAGTATAATAATTTAATATATAGGATATAATATCTTCACTAAAATAACATTCTACGTAAATGATCTGTTAAGTTCAACCTCCAGGTCTTGTGTTATCTACTTTGAAAACTAGCCATTAAATGTTTTAAACTACAGGATTATCTATTTTGTGGTTCCGAAAGTAAATGTAGCCACAAAATGAACACAAGATTTTGATAAAATTTTTATTTTAGTATACTGTTTGGTGTGAAATACAATTTTGTTTTCCATTAGATATTTTACATTATTGAATACCTTTAAGATAATTTTTGTTTACTTATAGCTGATAATAGTTCGATTTAAACTGCAAAAATTTGCGACTTATCCACATACGTTATGGATTTCGACTTATGTGCTGACTTTTTTTATTGACATATTCACCATCCAAGTAATAAGTTTCATCTACAAATAATGCGATGCGAAAAATCTTAACAATTTTTCCAACACATTTAGCACATTAAGCGATTGCTATACGATCTATAATTTAAAATATCACAAGCTAACTATATGATGTCTCCGATGATAGTGTTGTTTAACATAAATCACTGAAACCATTCAAATATTTTTTTATCAATGCTATAAGCAATCAAATATGTTTTCAATAGTCTATATTGTTTTTTACTTTATTACTTCATAATCTGCTATATATTGCATATTTATTAGAATGATCGATCGCGAAAACTATGCAACTGATTTTGGATATTTTATATTATTGGATAAGAAGGAAAGATGTTGGACTAAGTTAAAACCTAATATATAACAGTGGTGTGTCAACAAAAAATTCCTTTTTGCTATCAAAATAAGTGTTTTCTAAAATTTTATTAATAATCAAACTCAATAATTAAGTTCAATAATTAAGAATAAAAGGATTTTAAGTTTGAATTATAGATTTTTTTATTTCAAATTGTCATTATTGATATTTCGTTATCTAAGAAATCACTGATAATATTATGCTTAGTTAATACATATTACATACAAAAAAAAAAGAAAAGAAGAATAAAGATAATATTATTTCTGATGCATTTGATCATTTATACATTTATGGTATTGATTGTTAGTTTTTAGGAATGCTAAATTAAAAAAATTAAATACAATTTTTCAATTTAGGTTAAGTGAACTTTATTTTTGGTTTACGCCAAAAAATTCTTTTCGTAGTAGAGCAATATATTAAAAGTAAAAAGCTAAGCTTATCTATAATGAATTTTAACATATTTATGACAGAATTTTAACTTAGATAAAATATACGAAAGTATTAGTAAGAGAATTTAATATTGGCAAAGGTAAACATCTCTCCAAAAGATCTGCAATGCTAATAGGATGTTTATTTTGATTTTTTGCATTCAAGTTATGTTCTGTGGCATTATTAATATATATTTCATACCGCTCATTATTGTAAGTGCTTGCCTTATAATAAATATCAAAATGTAATAGAATATAAATATTTGAATAAAAAGTTCTGTTGTTTTTTTAATAAGCATCAGCAAAAGGAATAACTAAAACTGAGTTCTCTGTAGTTGTTCACACATGAAATAGTTGTTGCAATTAATTTTGTATTGTTATTACTCTTATCGATTACGAAGAACACTTAAGTTTTAAACTGAATGAAGTTTAAAAACTTTTATTTAGTGGTAAACAAATTTGAAATGTTTCTTCATGTAAAATTAAATACACTTAATGAATTAATGATTTTTAATTTTTAAATAAATAAATTCTTACAAAAAAATAAATATTTAAATTAATGTTGTCTTAACATGCATTGATTAAATGCTCTCATTATGAAACTAAATATTTTTCTAAAAAAAAAATAACCTTCAATAAGATTGAGATACTCGTATTATTACTTAATTTCATACTATATATTTTCATAAATTCTTTTTCATTAATATTAATTGATAAGACTTATTACTTATATCAAAACTCTTGCGACATTATGGAATTTTCCGGTCTGACGATCTTGTCGTGTCTGCGAACTGCAAAAATTTGCATTAACAAATCTATGTTCTGTTACTGTGTCAATGCAATAAAATCTTGTTTATATATGGTCGTTTAAAAAAACTGTTTACACCTGCTGTAATGAAAATCGTAGTTAGTCTCTGCAACTGACATACTTTTTTACCATCGTAACTTTTAGTTCGAAATAGCAGTGACAATAAAAAGTAATATTAAATGAGCTGTCAGAGATTATTCCATTCATCTTTAGTCATAAATCCCGAAAACTAGAATTATTTGTTTATATAAAAATGCAATTGAAAAAAATTAAAAACATTAATCATTAAACAAAAAGAGGAGTTAACTTTTATTATTGGTAATATATTTTTAAATTATTTTAATGTAGTGCTTATTTTCGTGTCGTTTGAATGAATATAAGTTGCATTTAATGGCATTAAATATTTAGATCTATTCATTTTATTTTGAATAAAAAAAATATTTGCGTTTAATAATAAATAATGTACACTGACGTTAATATATCCGTTGTTAGTTTTCTACAATTGTAATGAAAATTTTTTTTTGTTAAATCCATACTTAAATATGGACTTTTTTATTTATACTTAAATTGTTAAAAATAGTTGTATAAAAACTTCTATCCCATAAAAAATATTTTTAAATAATATACAAATATTTTTATATATATGTCAAGTTACATGTTAATAATAACTTTTATTTGACCACTTTATGCTTTTGGAATTTTAATCAACAATATTTAATCTAAATAGATATTTCCTGAATCTCTATATTCTATTAATACATATTATACAAAAATTTAAATATCTTTATTCCCTTAAATAGATAGAAAAAATAATAAAATATATACTAAACAACATTTTCGTCATTAAAAGTTCATAAATAGAAACCTTTTTTGTTATGCAGTTAAAGTTGGTAGAATATTTTTATTATGAAATAAATTCTTGACAATGAATTTTTTGTACTACGATTTTTGTATTAAAAACAAACTATAATGCATTGAAAAAAGATCCTTGACATGCTTTCAACAAAATTTTACATTAAAGCTTTTAACGTCTTTGTATTAAAAAGTTTTATAAAATTGCGATAGTTTAAGCATGCATTTAAAAGAAAGTATCTTGCATATAGTGGTTTAATAGAAAGCACAAATTTAGTAAAGCAATTTACTTCACTTGCTTAGAAAGTCACTTTTATAAGTAAACTTATGTGAATTTGATAACTAGAAATCTTTTAATTTACATCTAAATATTTGACTAAAAGTGAAATATATATTATCTTAAAAATATAAAACATATGCTTTATATCGCAAATACTTTTTCGATTTTAACCTAACCCTAGCACTACCCTAATAATTAAAACTTCTCGAATATAAAATCAGTTTATACTATTGCATTAAAATTATTTTTAATAATTATTTTCATTGGACGAGGACAATTGTTTATAGAAAAGGAGAAAAAACAAGCAAAACGTTGCGATTGAATTTTTGTATTTTAAAAATAATACACGATTGTAAATTAAATTCGAAGTAGATAAAATCCACCCAATAGCTGAGTTTTTCCACTAAGTGTTAGGCCCAACTAATTGACGTTTGGCTTCTTGTTTTGCGATAGAGTCAACCCTTTCTATTCTCTCATGTAGTTCATGTCCCGGGAGCCATTACGAAATAGCGCAGTTCCTTTAGTAATGCCAACTTGAGTTGATTTTTGAATTTTTTATAATATATAGAATACGTAAAATCTTGTGTTTAAAGTAGAAATCTATACCCAAAAGGTCTGCGTCAAATTATTGCATTTCTGTGGTTGGACAACACGACGTGTTAACGAATATATTCGCTTAATTATGGTTGCAAGCCATTTTTTTCGTATAATTCTTAATTTTAAGCAACTATTATTTTTAAAGTTAAATGATCTAATAAATGACAAAGTTAACAAAAATATATCATCAAATTGTGGCTACCAAAAAATTGTAACCATGCCCAAATATCAATCGGAAAATGAAACTAAGTATATGAACTATATATGAAACTATATGAACTATATATGAAACTATATGAACTATATATGAAACTATATGAACT